CCATGTATTCTGTGCTGCGTGTTGATACAGCTATCTAAGGGGTCTGATTTGAAATTCAGAGGTGTGCGGGATTCCATTAGGCCGCTCAAGGGTAATTTTTTCTTATTTATGAATTCTCTTGAGCAAGGAATTTATCACATATTACTTCAGACCGGGTTGCTCTGTCGGTAGGGTGTCGACATAAGAACCGATCGGTGTCACCCGCCCTTCTTCACCGAGGTTGATAAATGAGTACAACTCTATGGAAAGGAAACAGGAGAATACACGCTACGCTTGCCACATGGTTGTAGACTCCACATATAAAAAATAATAAGCTTCTGGCTGACGGAGATCGGCGTCGCACCGTCAACTTCATCAAAAGTAGGGCGCCAACATGGCCCGATCGTGAAAGTGAAGGAAGATCGACATTCCAACAACGACCAACTTTCCTTTTACTTTGTTTCTACGTATTTTTCTGCCTGTGGTTCAAAAGTAATGAAAATATTCCTAGAGCCGCGTTTTACATGTTTGAGGCAATGTCTTGACCGTCCTGGTGCACGGAAGACGTGGCCGACAGCATATGCATCGGGTAATGGCACAGACAGAATTTTCTTATTGCAACCGATAGACGAGTGAGTGAGAGCGACGTTCAAGGACTTTAATCTCCGGCGACAAAATGCCAGTTGACCATCGAGACAGAGCGAGGCGGGTAAGAGGGCAAGTCATCGTTTCGGGTCATAGGCAACATAAGTGGGCCATCCAAGCACACCGCCGAAGATGCCCACCCATAGGATTGGCTCACCCGAGCTACGAAAAATGCAGCGTGGCGGGGCATACGCCAAGAGTGCATGAATGATTTCAGAAATCTTGCCAATGATTCCGAATTCAGAAGAAAACCGAAACTGGCAAAAGGTATTGGCTTCAACGATCTAGACCAAAACACAGGACCCAAGAACCGAACACAGGAAAGACCTACCAAAGAGGAGCTGTTTGATTTGTAGCAACAGCGAGCAAGAAAACAGTAAGAATAAAATATTCAGCAGCACCCAAAGTAAAGAGTTGATAACGAAAGAACGTCCGAAGTCCAGTTAGATGGAACAAGAATAACCGTTCGGTAGAAGGCTACTGAAACAAGGAACGAAGTGAAAAATGTGACCTATGGCTGAGTGGTGCTTCGAATTGCTGCAATAAACCGTTTCAAAAAAAGAATATGAGAATCATCAAACTTTCAAGCTTAACTTCAAAGTCGTGCATGATAATGATAAACAAATGTCGACATTTATTGCTTTCCTATTTTTTCGATATTGATTTGCTGACATTCTGTCTGTGATATTTAGTTAAGTGAGGCTTAAGTTATGTTAGCGGACCAAAATTTGCCTCGCGGAATGCATCTCCTATAAGAGTACTAAATTTATCAGGAAACACTGTCAAACTACTTCCTTTTGGCATGCGTCGCGGTATGGACCGACTCATATCCGACGTAAATCGAAGAGTAACTGTATTTTCATCATCAGCAGTTTTCGATTCACTGCCGAATGCAGCCTCTACAAGACTTTGCCACAAGCTCATACCTTCAACTACATTTTAACAATGCTAAAATCGATTCGACGCGTGAATAAGTGTCAATCAATAATATATCAAATACTAATTGTAAAAAATTACTCGCCGTTTTTCTTCGGTACTTTGCAAACACAATGAAACTTGCAACCGAAGTCGATGTACAAATCATCATGTACGACTCTTATGATCTCGCCAACCACCAGTTTACCTTTCACATCACCGAGAGCCAGAAAGTTAGAATGCCGAAGAATAGAGGAAAAAGTTCTTTCCGTCGTTTCTTTCTCCTGTTCGAGTTCGCGACGTTTGAGAAACCGTTCAAACGCCTCGGCAAATCCACCAGCCTTCGGTTTCTCATCGCTCAACGCTCTTCTGCTAAAGGCCACTAACCTGATAACAGCAGGCAACGACTGAACGCGTAGGTATGGCAGCATTTAAATGGCAGTAACACCGGACAGGTGTTTCTAATGCATGATACCGAAAGACACTCTAATTTGCCTGGTGTAAGCCTTTATACATGGAAAACAACCAAGCGGTAGCACGCACATCAGTATTCAACTGTACTAGTTGATTTACAGGTAGTATAAGATTGACCTACACAGTAATTGGACTTTCAATAGCACTGCATTGCTGTTATGTCATGTACTGAGACATGTCTATATAGTAGAATTTAAACCATTTCTTCTAAAAACCTAAACTTCAATTAATAGAACGGTATTACTGTATATTGGCTGTAAGCTGACATTGAAATTCTGCAAAATTCAGATACTATTACATGAACTGGCCTACCGGGAGTTCCCAGTGTTGTTTCAACGAGCTTATTGTTCGAATGCGGCCATTAGCTGATTGTGAAGTGGCTGTCAGTACATTGGAGACTTTCAGCAATTATAAAAGTGAAATGATCGACTGGTAATAGTTACATCTCTTAGGGTATTAAGCACAGAAGCACTGCAGTGCTTTCATAGCGTAGAAGCATCACTATTTAACCGCTCCATCGGCGCCCTCTGACAATCACTGGAAGTAACTGAAGGTTAAAAACTACCGCAGACTGATTAATATCTCAGCACATTTGGCCTATGTGTACCATAATGTTTTGGAAGGTGCGAACATAACTCTGCTGTTGCCTGTTCCAGGAAAGAAAGGGTAAGTAGCAAATTTCGGCAACATGACGAGGTCTAAGGAGAAACTTTCATTGTATTGCCGTTATCAAACGTTATATCTGCTCATTCGACACTTTGATTAGCAGTGGCAATGCACGCTGTTGGGGAATTGAGGCAGACTGCCAAAAAGCGGGGATCTTCCGGGGCGTGGATAATCTGCCTAAGGCTTCCCGATTGCTGGGGACTTACCGATTAAGCAAATGATCTGTTACTTCCTGAGGATCTGACTTTGTTCCGTGCAGAAACGGTAGCAATTGCCTGTTTTCAAAGCTAATTTGTGTATGCTGACATTGATGCTGTCGTTGCAACAAGTAATCAACGCTTTATTCAAAATCCGGTTGTTCTGATATGCTTTTCAGCATGGAAATATAAAAAGCATGGGTTATTCACCGTATAGCATGTATCTGATGCGGCTACATTTAGTAAAATCTATATTGATAATTTAATTCAATACGTAACACAGATTCAAGGAGGAAAAATCACTCTTCGCAGCTTAAAAAATATTCGTCAATGCTGTACCCGATCAGGAAATAGTTCAGCTACAGAAAGCAATGGTTATGGCTGGTAAGTGATCAGTTCACCGACGAATATATCGAACTTGTGCTTCTTATGTATTTACTGATCAAAGCGACATTGCAAAATGGTAAAATTTGTAATATAACTCAGTCATGCTGCCGCCATTAAGAATGAACTTGTGCACTGGTTCATCAAGACCATGAAAATTTATTTTTCTCCTTCCTACAAACCGAGTATTTTAATATGCCGTTACAATGTCAAAAATTGAAGGTGCTTTCTGTTGAAGCTAAATAACTGACAAGGTCAGCGTCAAAGTTTTATCATTATCAAATTCCAATTCGACTAATTTGAAACAACGTTTTGTACCGATCGCAAACGCGCGGGTGCCGACGACTAGCGGTTTAAGAAAAAAGTCAGATAAACACAGAGATCAGCGCATAGTCTGGTTTGGTAAAGCGACTTCAAAAAGAATGGAAAATTATTTCGATGCTTTTCGCGCGTGGGAACCCAAAAGCGACCATAGAAGCACTGTATGAGAATACGAAAGATGTCAACGCCGTTGAGACAGACCTTCTGGCGGAAAAGAATATGACTTTTGCAATAGTGATTGACGAACGACGCCATTTTTGAAAGTCAGAAATCATAAATCCTTGACCCGAAAGGAGAAGCAGTCATGGAAGCTGATGATAAAGATATCATAATTCTGGATTACTCTGCTGCTTGAGCTCTGCCAGTCTGTGGTGACGATAACAAACAACGTTTAACTGTGACGTATTCCGTTCGTTAAGGATTCTCGATGACGGAATCAAAGCCCCTACTTCATGTCTATGGCAGAGAGTCTACTTTTATTAATGAGAATAGCACACGAAAGAAATAATGATAGTATTATTCATACTTGTTCACGGAATGCTTACTTTTACGGTTTAACTGGAAATACTTTTCACTGATGACAAAATTTAACAGTAACTAGCGAAAGTAACAGTTGTAATGCAGCATAAAATTTGATCTAATTTTTGCCGGCGCACCAGTCAGCAGGCAATGTCAGTGATACAAATAACTTACTCCTTTCCGCAGAGGAGGAAATACGCGTAAGTCAATGCCAACATCGTCCAGTCAGAAATTGCGCTATGCAAATCAGTCAATAGGCATTACGTCATCATTGAGGCCCTGTTTCAGTACTAGTGTTGCGGCTTCCTTCCCGTCGGTAATTCCAGTTCCAAATGTGCTATTCCGCACGATAGGCAGTCCATTGTCTTATACATTTGCGGTTGTGTGATTATACTTTTCATGGTTTCAGCTGTGTTTATTGCTAAGTTGGTTTCCAATTTCCATTCAAGTACCTCGGAACTATATTTACTAGCGATGGAAAGTTGGAGGAAGAGATCGACCGGCGAATTGGTG